TTTCCAGCAGTGGGATAGCTGGGTCATATGGTAGATCTACCTGCAATTGTTTGAGGAAGCTACATACCATTTTCCATAGAGGCTGCACCATATTGCAGTTCCACTAACAATGTATGAGAGTTCCTTTTTCTCTGCAACCTCACCAGCATTTATAATTCACGGTCTTTTGGATATTAGCCATCCTAACCAGGGTGAGATGGTATCTCAGTGTGGTTTTGATTTGCATTTCCCGAATACTGAGTTATGTTGAGCATTTTTTCATGTGTCTGTTGGCCATCCATATATCTTCCTTTGAGAAATGCCTATTTAGCTCTTTGCCCAGTTTTTAATTGGGTTACTTGGGGTTTTTTTGTTGTTGTTGTTGTAAAGTTGTTTCAGTTCGTTGTATATTCTGGTTATTCATCCTTTGTCAGATGTATATTTTGCAGATATCTTCTCCCACTCTGTTGGTTGTCTTTGAACTCTGTTAATTATTTCTTTTGCTATCCAGAAGCTTTTTAATTTGATATAATCCCATTTGTTTATTTTTCCTTTGGTTGTCCGTGCTTTTGGGGTCATATTCATGAAGTCTGTGCCCAGTCCCACTTCCTGAAGTGTTTCTCCTATGTTTTTTTTAAGAAGTTTTATTGTTTCAGGGTGTATATTAAATTCTTTAATCCATTTGGAGTTGATTTAAGCCTCTAGAAAAAAACTCTTGGAATTGATAAATGATTTCAGCAAGGTAGCAGTTTACAAAATCAACACACTAAAATCAGTAGCATTTCTATTCTCCAATAGTGAGCACGCAGAAAGAGATTTCAAGAAAGCTTGCCCATTTACAATAGCCACCAAAAAAATGAAATACATAGGGATAGAGTTAACCAAGGATGTGAAAAATCTGTCATTGAGAACTACAAACCACTGCTGACAGAAATTAAAGAGGATACAAGAAGATGGAAAGATATCCCATGCTCTTGGATTGGAAGAATCAACATTGTAAAAATGTCCATACTACTCAAAGTGATATACAAATTCAGTGCAATCCCCATCAAAATTCCAATGACATTTTTCTCAGAAATGGAAAGAACTATCCAGACATTTATATGGAATAA